ATGGACGCTGCCGACACCACAGCAGCAGCGCCCGCTGCCTCGGCAGTACAACCTGACCACCAACTCTCCCCTACTCCGCAAGACTCGCCTCCGTCGCTTCGAGAACCGTCACTTAACACGTCGGAACCCTCGTTAATTGAACCTGAAACCCAACCAAGTACTCAGGAAGCTCCAGCCCAAGTAAATGACCACCAAGACACTGAGAACCAAGAACAGTCTAATACCACTGAGCAAGACACTAATGAAGAATCAGCACCGCAGGAGACTACTGCCACTGAAGCGAATGCCCCGAGTGATATGGTTGTTGACTCTGAAACTAAGGAGGCCTCAGAGGATGTTCCCTCCAACGATGCTTCGGCTCCAGTGCTGGCGTCATTCGACCAGTTTGCTGACTCTGACGATGAGAATTATGAACCGACATTAGATCCACCGGCCACTGATTCTACTCCTGCTCCTGGTGGGTTACCGCCTCGTCCTCAAGTGGACCTGCCGTCGCCTGCCCCTACTCCTCCCTCTGCTGCTGCTGCTGCTGCTTCAATTCCTCAACGACTGGAGTGGGTGGCTTGTTTGTTAAACTACTGTGACCCTTTGGTAGCGGACGCCGTCAATGCTCACCCGTTGAAACAGACTTATTTCGAGATTCTCAAATTACCTAATATTGACTCGCCTCAGTTCGATACGTTGACTCAATCGCAACAGGTGGACTTGATCGTCAACGAGTACCGCTCCCGTGTGGCAGACTTTGACCTGTGGAACTTTAACCAGCTCTACTCGTATAATAAGCCGTTCAGATTCATTCGCAACCCAATGCCGATGATCCCATTGAACAAACACTGTCGCCGTCCTAACATTACGTTAGCGGCTACCACTGAAGAGAATGAAGCATTCGATAAGTTCTCTCGTGAAGAGGACCACAACAAGTATAATAGCCAGTACCCAGATCATCTGCGGTTGTTTGTGGGTAACTTACCGGCGAATACGGTCCCCAAACCTGAGTTATACCGCATATTCAGCCAGTACGGTGAAGTGGTGGAAATCACCGTGAAGGCCGGGTTCGGCTTCGTTCAATTTGCCACGGCGGAAGCGTGTGCTGCTTGTATTGAAGGGGAAACCAATGTCCCCCTCCACGGCCGTATTTTCAGACTTGACGCTCTGAGAGCTCAACGTTACCGCAACCAAACATTTGACACGGAAATTGTTACTACTCCGGCGAAACCTGAAGCAATCGTGTTGGTGTTGCCTGATGCCGATAATGAGGCTGTGGACAAGTTGTCTACTTCGTTAACCAACGCTCAAATCATGTTTGAAACCCGCCAGTTGGGTGAGGACAATTTGCAAGATGTGATCGCCGACATTGCCTACCTGGGCGTTTCTGGTTGTTGCAAAGTCGGTACTCAAATTGATCTCCAAACGTTTGAAGCCACTGAAGACGATAGTGTCCGTTTTGACGAATATGAGGGCGTGGACGATACCCAAGTAGTGGATATTTTAAAGCAAATGAAGCTGAAGAAGCAGGAAAAGCAGGGCTCCTCTCAATTGCCCCAGAGACCCACCGTGCCTTCATCGCTTCCTGCTCAGCCCCAAGTGAACTCCCCCAGCTTCCAACCGCCTCAGACTAATCAGCAGAACATTCCCTATGGCCAAACTCAGCCTCCCATTGCTCCTGCCTACGGTCAACCAGTGCCTCCACCGGCTGCTGGTTACGGCCAACCGCCTCAGCCTGGCTATGGAGCTCAACCACCGCCTCCTCAACCAGGCTACGGACAACCGTATGGTCAACAATATGGACCCCCTCAACAAGGCTACGGTCAACCGCCTCAACCGGCTTACGGATCGTACGGCCAGCCCCCGCCTCCGTCTAATTACGGACCCCCTCAACCGGGATACGGTCAACCTCCCCAGCCAGCATACGGTCAGCCGCCTCAACCAGCATATGGGCAACCTCCTCAACCAGGTTATGGACCGTCTAATTATGGCCAGCCGCCTCAACCAGGGTACGGCCAGCCTCCTCAGCAAGGGTACGGTCCCCAAGGGTACGGACAACCTCCTCAGCCGGCTTACGGTCAAAACCCTGCCTACCCTCAACCGGTGGGGCCTAGAGGCAACAATGACTACGATGACGACGGCTACCGCTACGGACCTCTGCAATATGGAAATCCTCCCGTGGATTCTAACTATGGTGGTGGTGGTAATAACAATTATGGCAATGACCAAGGCCGGTACCAGCCTCGCTACCAGCGTCAGAACAATAACAATGATGGGCCTATGCCCTATAACATCGGTGTCAGTGGCTACCGTCCTAATCGTGGTGGCCGTAACCGTGACCGGGGCAATAATCGCTACCATCCCTACCGCAACACTTCTGGTAGTGGTGCTGGTTCCGGTAGTACGCTCCTGGGACTGTCCAAGTACGACCGCTACAATCAGCAGTACCAGCAACTGCGCCAGTCGCAACCTTCGGAAACTAGCCAGCTGGCCCTGTCGCTGTCGCCTCAATCCTCTCAAGCTGAGCCTGCTCCCAACGCGGAGCCGGCAGCCACCACTCAGGATGCTTCCGGCTCCGACGCTCCGTCCCTGGTGGTGGACTCCATCGCCAAACTTGTAAGAAAATAACCGAACACAGAACACAGAACACCAGACTACGTTAATCGATACCAGAGCCCAAAGTGGTATGCACAAAGAACACCAATAAGACTAATCGAAACACTACAACTGAAGCCTTTGACCGTAGAGTAAATCAAACAGAGATAATCAGTCACACGACTCAGTAATGGCGTAGATGATCACTATTCATTACTCGTAGCGATGAGCGCAAAACATCCAGTAGTTAGCAAGCACTCAAATTAAGAAGATGGTGTGAACAGCAATCCACAATTCAAGCTCCTTGTTCTCGAAACCATTGTAGTCTGTAGGCATGTTTTTTTTTTTGGTTTGACAGGTTTTACTGAGAGCTAACACCGCGTATGACACACGTCATGCCTGCAACCCTCATGCCTGCACAAAAAGCACCATATGCAGGAAACACGAAGAACCTTACCCATGTTAATTTATGGGGTAAATGACACCCTAGAAGAAATCGAACAACAGCACTGTACTGTCTATCGTTCAAATAGTACTTGCGACAACAAATGAGAATTGTTTGAATTTTTCGAGATTTTTCTTGAAAAAACTAAAAAAAAATTCTATAAAATCAGGAAAAGTCGATAAGGACAATTGATTTGCTCCATAAAATTTGTTGGCACTGGAAGTATATATGATATGATTTTGGGAGAGTTGACTTCAAAATTGGCGTCTCTATGTGAGACTAACGGTAGAAAAAAAATTTTTTTTTTTTTTTTTTGTAATTTTTTTTTGGCCGACTATGAGTTTTTAACATACTCTATTACATCTAGTAAGCATTGGAACTGACCTGCGATGTTTGTAGAAGTGATAGGATGGGTTTTACATATCGTCCATTACAACATTTGTATGCAGGTGCATCAACAAATATGCAAGACAAAACAGGATGAGCTGTATCACGCACTTACAGAGTAACTGGCCCATTTTAACAATCATCATTGTAATCTGGTGACATGTCTATTTGGTTTGACGTGTTTAGGTAGATGCCGCCATTGTAGCTGACACATATGCCACGCTCTCAAATAAGGGGTTCTGCACACAAGCACTGCATGTGCATATAATCCATAATTCTTCAAATAGCGCTTTCATCACTTATATTGAGCCTGAGAACAAAACAAATTACACCACTGTGATGTATACGGTGCAAATATCATCTATAACATCAAATGGTATTTTTCTGAATTTTCTTAAGAAAATCTTCAAAGTGTGATATAAAATCAGGAAAACTTGGTAC